GTCGAAACTGCAGTCCACCCAGGATGAGAACAACTTTCGGAAAAGCAAGGCTATGTGAAATTCAATGGAATCGTCAGCTCAACTCATATCAGTGGGAAAATTCTACTAGGCAAGGCTATGTGAAATTCAATGGAAAAAGTCAGCTTAACTCATATCATTGTGGGAAAATTCTACTACCATTCCCTTAATCACCTTAGACGAAATAGGGTGAATACATCTCATTACACTGATTTACTGGTAGTCTCGAAACCCTACTCAATTACCGATGATAGTTTAACTGTTTTAGGCAGAAAGTTTTACGAGGGATTGACTTCACTTGTCTATTCAACGAGTTCGTAGCTTGGTGCGTAGAATGGCAAAACTTACTGATGATGCCGACTACAATGCCGGCGAAACGTTTGAGAATGTACCAAGTCCACTATCTGATGCTGGGAATTATGATAACTACCATGGCAGAGGACATCGGGCTAGGTGCGTTCTACTAAGTGTCCCGGACAGCAAGACCAAGTTGCGACAACGAGGTCAACCCACTTCTAAGATATTTTAAGTTTCCATGAGGTAACTATAAGGTCAAATCAACTCTATACCGCAAGAGGAGAGTGAGAAAAAACAAAGGACCACGTTCTCCTAGAATTGATATCAAAGATTAAAATGTGAAGCTGACATGAATGCAGAGAACAATTAGAAAAACCAGTCAGTTATCAATCAAGCAGCGAACGAAAGTAAAGTAATGGCGGCAGGATACTTATGTACCGAAAGCCATCAAATTGTTTGTTTAAGGATCTATACAAATTCAATTTGAAGCTTCTTGTCGGTATATTCAAAAGGACATTGACTTCCAGGGATATTTCTGAATATTATAATCGTGCAAGGATAGTCTTAATTGACAAAAAGTGTGAAGACGCCTTAAATTAAGAAACTTAGGTGGATATCTCATGTCCACCAGTAAATGCAGCGATATATATACAAGTTCTGATTCCGTAAAGAGCTAGCTACAGTGAATCTGACAAGTATATGTAGAATAACCATTGAAAACATGATAGGCTGGGGCTCCAGCTAAACGAGATATTCCTTAATATAAAAAAGACCATGACTAGCAAAACTGCACTACCCTTTAAACTGCGCCAAGGAAACTGAGTATACTCAATAAAATATGCAACGGATCAGAAGCCCATTGTGGTACATCAGGTAAAATAAGGGTAGCCCCCTTAGTTTGAAGATGTAGGATGAAGAGAATAAAGAGTAATTATCACAAGAAGACGAAGGCATGTGTCCTTTGGCCTGCTGCGAATTGAATTCCCTAAGTCGAAATCCTCTGACACTTTTGTTCCGTTAAGAGAAAATCGTGATAGGCTTTAATGTATCGTACAAATTTAAGTCAAATGAGAAAAACAAAGCGGCTCATCAATGTTTGCCAAATTTGTATGCTTAAATGGAACTTAAAAGAAGCACCAGCTGATTATACCACTGAAGTCGCCTGCCTAAAGCTATTGAGCTTCTGTCTTTGTACCGGATAAAAATCAATTTAGACAGTGGATCATAAACATTCTAGTAATTCATTCAAAATTAAAGATAAGCAAGTTGGATGGATGGCTCTTTTAGATGTTGTAATGACTTGTAGGAAAAATAGCGAGCTTAAATGATACAGCTCCAGAGGTTTCCGTTGGTCTGGACAGTAAATCCATTCTGGGGGTGGGACCAGTTAGTAAACTACTTGATATTATTAGTAAAGCGTGTAGTAAAAGGGGCACTTTCTTGCTAAATAATTTCTTACGAAATAGAGTAATGCGCTTTAGTTGATAAGCAAGCATTTTTATATTGGAATCGAATAAAGTGAAATTTTACTGATAATTAGAGCCAAGTAAGTGAAAGGATTAAAAGTTCACTCTAACATTTAGTGACCATTGGAATTAAATTTAGTCTTACGAACAACTATTAAATAATAGCTCCCTTTCTTAACTCAGGTCTGCATCATCAGGCAATGCAACTTTATCCACAATTATGAACAGGTAAGACTGATTATTCGAGTAGGAGAATATCTGCTCAAATAGATGCAGGATGAGAAGAGTGAACCAAGTAAAAAAGAATTTACCGTTACAATCGACGGGGTTACATTATAAGTGAATAGGCTTCGAAATTATAAGTAAATCTAGAATAATAACATTATTCATCCTAGGTAAAAGCATACTCGCATATAAAATAAGTAACTTCGTCGAGTTTAATGGAAAATATAAGTCTGACTCATCAAAAACCCCAAAACAAATAACTTTGCGGAAATATCTGGCTTTTGGAGTAATGGAAATTCGCCACGATACTCACTACCCGGTTTCGTATCCCGTTGGGAATGATGATATGGCCTAGGCGAGGAGAAAAGTAAGGTTATCTTGGATAAGAAAACTTTTTGGAAGTCAAGGCAAGGTGAAATTCGACAACCTATTCATTCTATTAAGGGAAATGTCACTATCAGCCCCTAAACTATCTTAAGCGACCTAGAGAGACTAGTGAGAGATTATTCAAGAATTACTGAAAACTCCAAACATATGAGATCTAAAAAGGTGAATTTCTATTTTCATAAAACAAAAAATATCTAGACATTAGCAATATGGTAGTTATCCTGGTTATATTCCAATGCAAGACAGTACTTGAAATGTGCTCGGCTTTCAAATAATGGAGCCCTTTATCTTGTGATAAATCTAAGACCAAGCATATAAATAAAAATAATAGTTGGCTGGCCAGAAAGGAGGCTATGGTGAAACTTAAAGGCCATTTAGCTAAGAGACTTTCATGTGCCAGCCTCATGCAAAGGAAAAATTAAGAGATATGAAAGAGAATAAAAGCAGAGGAAAAAATGAGAAAGGTGATTACTTCAAAAATCGGAGAATCGGGCAAACGAGATTTGGTAGGTGGAACTTGGCGAACCAGACGAACCGAGCGCACCTCCTGTAAGTCGATAATGTCTCGAGGCACCTCATCCAATTCAGTGTCATAGTAGCGTAGCTGGTGTCGGCAAGTATCCAGAACAAAAAAGCGCCTTTTCCATTGCTGAAGCATTCTGCGATGACTCTGTTTTCGTAAATAACCGTAGAACGCGACAGACTGTAAGTTTGCTGGTACAGGATTAGATCTCGATCCAGGGACCCTATCAGTGCCAAAAACAGCGGCAGGCGAATGGGTGATCACATGGCTAGGTGCCGTTGTCACAGGTGACGAGGTTTGTCGGCTCCCGAAGCCAGATTGCGACCATGTAATGCCAACGGACAGAGGCGTTGGAGAGAGGCCGACTGGGCTAACTAGTACATCAGTTGGGCAGACTTCGATTGCAGAAGAGGCGGTGCGGAGAGGAGGTGAAGCACGCGAGTGGATCGGAAGAACATTAGTCCCGTTACTAGGCGAGTGCCGAATATTGCTTGATGGAGAGAGAGGTTTAGTAATGAAGTATATAGGGATTTATTATAAAATAGAAGACGAAAGGGTATGCTTTACCAGGCACGTCTTATCACCTAATGATTTATACTTGATGAGAAATTTACCATGGGATAGGGAGTATACCCATTTTCAAGGCAGGTTTCTGATTGCTTGACCTCAAAAATATTAAGAATCGCTTTATGAGCCATAATAAACAAATAATGAGCACCCAGTCACCTATGCGATTAGATTGGTCCAAATGAGCTTACATTTAATTCTAAAGGTTGATTCTAACCATTTTAGCTAAACCTGTCTGGAATTAATTTTACTTCTACGAACAACTACAAACAACTAGTAAATGATAGCTCCCTTTCTTAACTCAGGTCTGCATCATCAAGGAATTGGCTCAGTAGAACTAGGTGAATTATTGCAAAATCTTAAAAATATGCCATTGGTTTGGTAGTGAAAGTTGAATTGAAGAAAGGTTAATGGATGTCAAATAACATTCCGATCAACAAACAAAAGCTTTACTATAAATATTATGCACTATAATAAAGACAGGATAGTTGACTTGAAATCACTTAGATAATGAGTCTAACATATGGTTAATATTAAGAAAATAACTGCTTAAACACTACTTTGGCCCTTAGAACAAATTACGTGATGAAACATCCTCTCCAAACAACGATTATTCATAAAACAATCATGAACTGTTACCTACCTCAGGTCTTGGCTCCAGGTATCCAGGTCTGGAACTAAAGACTGGCAAACGCCTCCAGGAGAGGGAAGATCCGCCATTCGCTTTAATGCTGGACTAGACGCTTGAGGAATATGTATGCCTGTTTGTCGTGCTACAATTAAGTGGGGCCTCGGTGGGGCATCACCGTTCTCAATTTCTACGGCTGTTCTAGTCTGCCCGATTGAAGTGGCCTCATTTGGAACTTCGATCCAGGAGGGTGTTACACGCCGTACCAACCTCGTGGACATAACACCGTTTACCGAATCTCCGTACGCAGGCAAAGTCATGGGAACCTCTGGGACTAGTTCAAGACGGCCCGGTAAAAGTGACCGACTGGTGAGGCCAGTGCCAGTCTGCATCGAGCTTCGTGAATATATCTGTGCCTGGGGCTGAACAGGCTGACCCGGTAGATGATTCGATAGATAAGAAACAGGATTATTCCCAGTGCTAGTAATAGAAGTAGCAATACCGAGGGTTGTTGGACAGCTGGAATTAAATACACGTCCGGATGAGTGGCCCGGACAAGTCTTGGGAACTCCAGGAGCACACTTCTCATGACAGACGAGGCCACAAACAGAACAGCCAACAGCTCTTGCTGAAGCCAACGTGAAAAGGAAGCCCTGACAGAGTACACAACGAGCTCCGGTGGCCCCAGTGATCTGTTTGAACTTGTGTGGCTAAACAGAAAATAAAATTCATCCGAAGTGTAAGTATTATGAGCATAAAAACTAATATTGATAAGTAAAGGCATGAGGTAAGGTTCATTTATAAAGCCTCAGAGACAGAGGAGTTTAAAAAGGCGTGGTAAATATCCCGACGTTTCGCCGTCATCGTCAGTGAGCTTTGCCAGTCATAGCCCCACATTAAAACTCGCCAAAAGGAAAAGTCAAGCCGATCCTTTGATTAATTGTCCGCTCTGGGCTAATCCCCAATCTTATGTCTTCGTATCACCCTTTCACTATAAAAATTTTTTAATTCTTTATTTGAATGTGGTATTGTGTGCCCTTTTGAGCAGTTCTCAGGAGAACTCTCCACACTCCACGCTGGCTTTCTCACCTCCTCACCCCACAATCTTCTTCCCATACGTCTTATCAGAGTCTCCCACTTGCCCAGTAGGATCCGCCTCCTAGCTTCCTGGTTCATATATTTTATTCGAACCTTGACATCCTGTCTGCACTACGCGAAGCGTTATTTCCCACACTAGCCTAAGTCTTCGAGGGTACAAATACTTCCGCCTCATTGAATAGGCTCCTAAAAATCAGGATTCTTAAGCAGGATGGGAAACTAACTTGAGGCCCAAGTAAGTCTCATCATGAATCCTTTGCTTCATGGATCACACCTATGATCGAAAACGTTTACTGTTAACCAACTAGCTCTAGTCTCCACAGCATCTATCCCGCTTAGATCCATACTAACAAGGCTATGACTTCCTATGCAATAGACTCTTGTCCGCCAATCCACATATGTTGTGGTTCTAAATTGAACCTAATCAAAACAAGTGTAAAAGCAACACTTGTGGAAATGCCCAGAAGCAATTAGAGCATAAGATGCACTAGAATTGGCATTAGGCATAGAATAACCATAGATACGGTGGGGACTAGAGCAAGTTGGCTAACAGTAGAGGTGTTTGATCATAGGCGTAATTTATGAAACAAAAGCTTGATGATGAGGCTTACTCGGGCCCTTTAGCCTTAGGTTAGTCACCCATCCTGATTTTTAGGAGCCTACTCAGCGAGGCGGGAGTATTCGTGCCATTAAAGGCTTGGGAAAGTGTTGTAAATAACGTTTCGAGTAGTACAGATAGGATGACAAGATTCGAGTGAAATACCTGAACCAGTAAGATAGAAGGCGGATCCTACGGGGCAAGAGGGAGACACTGATAAGACGTATGGGAAGAGGATTGCGAGGTGAGGAGGTGAGAAAGCCAGTGTGGAGCGTGGAGAGTTTTCATGAGATCTGTACAAAAGGACACACCATACCACATTTAAATAAACAATTAAAAAATTGTGATAGTCAAAGGGTGATACGAGGATATAGGATAGGTGAATGCCTGAGGACAGATGGAGAGATACCACGACTGTTTAGCAGACAATTGACCATAGGATAGACTTCATTTGTCTCCCTGACGAATTGTAGTGTTGTGCTAAGACTGGCAAGGTTCACTGACGATGCCGGCGAAACGTCCACGGCCTGACTCAGGAGATTATCTTGCATACCATGTACTCCGGACTAGGTAAGTTCTACTAGTTCTTTCTACCAATATGATCAAGTTGATAAAACAAGGTCAAACAACGCTTAGACTACGAAAGTAGACTGCGAACATACAAAAGGCCAAACCATCTTGGTCGTCATACCTTTGAAAAAAATATAAAAATTGAATCATGCAGATGGTCGCAATAGTAATGCATTGTATATATAGTTGAATTTTGTACAAATTTATACTCTTATTACTTTTTATGTTAACATGTTCCGGAAATAGTTGCTTGGCTCTGGCGACAAGAAAGATTGTGATAGATGAATATATATTCCCTACTACTATACATTACTCAGTCGATCACAAAAATATTTACACGCTAGGGTAAAATAAAGTTTTGAGATTGCCATAGGATGAATCAACATTTCAAGGCACATTCAAAAAGAGGAAAAGTGCTTCGAAGTAAGACTAAAATGAAAATTTAAGTAGTTATAGTTTCTTAAGCGTTAGCTACACATATGCAGATAAAATACCCCATCTAAGATAATCTTGCAATAGGCTCAAAATAGAGTTAATTATTAACTCATAAAAAATTTTCACTCGAAGCATCTGCAAGGGATGGAAAAACAAGTTGGAATTCTTCCAGTAGAGCGATAATTAGGAATGTTTAAAGTAGCGTGGCATTGAAATCAAATCAAAATTGGCATGCATAACTTAATCAAAATCGAAAAGGGTGCTAAAGTTGGTCTGAAAGAAAATAAAATAGGATCAGACTTGTGTATATAGAAAGGGCTATGGATGCTGAAATATTTTTGGACAAAGATAGAAAAAATGCACAAGTACATGTATTTGTATCTTTGTCTGTTGATTTGATTTTAATTTTGATTAAAGTAGTGGAATTATGGTTAGTACATCGGTTGTACAAGGAATTCAGTTGAATAGTGGCTAAAACAAAGACGGAAGTGGTAAGGAGATAATGAGTGCGAATAGATCGATAATAACAAAGATATGTATCAATCATAATATAAAATGGAGTAATATATATTTACTTAAATGTTGAGCTTGCTTCTATTTCGAGTAGAGTGTTTGGTAAAAAGACTCAAAAGTCGATTTCGCCAGAGCACGAAGGTGGATTCAACTTAACCTGCTGTCAACAAGAGTGAAATCTGCCGTCGTCTTCGGATGAAATCGACTCTCGAATCTCCTCACCAAATACTTCCCTTCGAAATGGAAGTAAGCTCAACAATTAGGAAACCAGAGATTCCTCGAAACCCAACTTTTCTTGGCACATATTTGCTTAGTAATATTCATATTTATTAATAGAAGTTATTTGACCTTGTCATATTGGTACGAAGGCTTAGAGGAACGCACCTAGTCCGGAGTACATTGTATGCATGATAATGACCAAAATCGTACCGTGGACGTGGTACATTCTAAGACGTTTCGCTGGCATCGTCAGTGAGTCCTGCCATTCTTAGCACCACACAACTCACCAAAAGAGACAAGTGAAGCCGATCCTTTGATCAAATGTATGCCAAATAATTGTGGTATCTCTCCTTCTATCCTGGGCTATTCATCTCTTATATATCCTCGTATCACTCCTTTAGTATCACAATGTTTTCCATGCTTATTTAAATGTAATGTAATGTGCCCTTTTGAGAGGCATTCAAGAGAACACTCTGCTCTCCACACTGGCATTCTCAACCCCCTTCACCCTTGTACTGGGAATGTGGATTAGAGTCTGCCATATTGTCACGCAGTCCTCCTTCCCCAAGTCTTATCAGAGACGCCTACTTGCTATGTATAATCCATCTGCTATCTCCGTGGTTTTAGTATTTCACTCGACTGCCACCCCATCTGTGCTCCACGAGGCGTTATTTCATACACTCTGCGTCTGCTAGACTAACTTGAGGCTAAAGACACCGAGAAATTCTCGTGGTCAAGCCTTTGCTTCATGGACCACGTCTATGGTAAAACAGGCCTGCTGTCAGCCAACTAGCTCTTCGCCAGTCTCCAGTCTTCGTCGCGTCTATCCTGTTTCTATCCCTAATACCAAGTCTATGATTTGCTTTGCCCTAGTCTCTTGTCTGTCAACCCACAAATGTTGTGGTTCAACATTAAACCTAATCAAAACAAGCAGTACCACAACATTTGTGGGTTGACACACAATAGACTAGGGCAAAGCAAATCATAGACTTGGTATTAGGGATAAAAACAGGATAGACGCGGCGAAGACTGGAGACTGGCGAAGAGCTAGTTTGCTGACAGTAGACCTGTTTTACCATAGACGTGGTCCATGAAGCAAAGGCTTGACCACGAGAATTTCTCGGTGTCTTTAGCCTCAAGTTAGTCTAGCAGACGCAGAGTGTATGAAATAACGCCTCGTGGAGCACAGATGGGGTGGCAGTCGAGTGAAATACTAAAACCACGGAGATAGCAGATGGATTATACGGAGCAAGTAGGAGACTCTGATAACACTTAGGGAAGGAGGACTGCGTGACAATATGGCAGACTCTAATCCACATTCCCAGCACAAGGGTGAAGGGGGGTGAGAATGCCAGCATGTAGAGCAGTGTTCTCTTGAAGGCCGCTCAAAAGGGCACCCCACATTACATTTAATTAAGCAAGGAAAACATTGCGATACAGAAGGCGTGATACGAGGATATCGGAGAAGTGAATAACCCAGGATAGAAGGAGAGATACTACAACTGTTTAGCACACATTTGGTCAAAGCATCGGCACGCATCTTTGAAGTGTGTTAGTGTGGTGCTAAGAATGGCAAGACTTACTGACGACGTCAACGAAACGTTTGTGAATGTACCAGGTCCACGGTCCAGCTCTAAAAATTATCATGTATACACTTGACTCCTGACTAGGTGCGTTCCTCTAAGTTTTCCTACCAATATGACCAAGATGCAAAAGCAAGGTCAAACAATTTCTATACAACGAAAGGAGACTGCGACCACACAAAATGCCACATCATCTTGGTCTTCATATCTTCGATCATATGTATTTAACTGCCTTTCAACGCCCTATAGAACTAAAATAGACTTTCTAATAGAGCGATTTTCTCTTCATCCAATTGCGAAAGAGACTAGCAATGGACTGTATTAACTCAGGAAGGGTCGTCAATACGATGAAAGATTATGCCCAAGATTTTACTCAATGAAAGATCGGTGGAAATTACGATTCTAAATGTCTCCAAGATAAACCACAAATTAAATCTGTGGCACAAGGGTGAGGATAACAAGGTTTCATGAATGTAGGGACATTGTGGCTTTCAAGGGCAGAATAGTTGCAATCATCACGATTACCATGCTTTAATGATGCACCAGGGCAATTTTCTATTGAACTATAATCCTTTATTTTCAATCGGCAGGGATTGGAAGCAAGCAAACTTTGGATTTGCTGATCTGTCCCACCAATGAGACAAATATGCCAGATTTGTCGATATCATGTATTGATTGCCACTATTACCATACCTGGAATGCTGAAAAAAACTGGCAATGTTTTGGCGTTATAAAACCAGTGATTTCTTGGACTATATATGGTGGCACCTACGCTTTGATCTCTCGGGTTTTTTTAGCTATAATGAAATTATCGTATGCTTAATATACTATGAATGCAGCCTGAAATAACTAACTTAATTATTGAGCAAATCTTGATCATCGGCCTCAACGAATCCATAACATTCAACTTAAGAGGCAGACACTTAAAGTCCTCATTCCATACATCAAAGGCAGTTGAGTTGGTTGGGATTCATTAGAAAGCAAAAGGTAGCTAGCGGGGGTAAAACTACAGTCCAGTTCGGACTTTAGCTTAAAGCACATGAAACACAGTCGAATTCTTCGACTAAAGCGAATTTTCTCTTCAACTCATCCTAGGATAA